ATTTGGATGAGATAAAAATGTCGGGAAATGTCGTCAACGTCAAGCCTTCGATTGTGCGCCACTTGAACGACGCTACAGTCGGAGACGTCCAGCCCTTCGTCGTGATGCCCAACGTGCACGATATCCCTGGTAACAAGCGCTTGGGTGTCTACAAGATCTGGCTCCAACGATATCAGGCAACGATCATCAAAAAGCTGGGTGAGCTTAACGAGAAGTTCAACATTATCGGAGAGAACATTCGTGCCGGGTTGCGAGCGAACGACGTGAACCTCCTCAGGACTGCCCGGGTCATCGGCATGACTACCACAGCAGCCGTAAGTCAAAGGCTATTTGATGAGCAATATCAGATTGGGATGTCTGCAAGTGCTGTACCTAACATGAGCGACCAACTCTTTTTGTTATAGTCCAAGTACCACGACCTGCTCTGGGCATTGAAACCCAAGGTCATGATCTGTGAGGAGGCGTCGGAAACAATGGAAGCCCACATTATTTCTGCGTTGACACCGACCATCCAGCATCTCATCCTGATTGGAGATCACGAGCAGCTTCGGCCAAGCATGTCGGTGAACGACCTGAAGAACCTGAACATCGATGTTTCGTTGTTCGAGCGCCTTGTCACCAACCACTTTCCGTACTCAATGCTGGACTGTCAACGACGCATGCGGCCGGAAATTCGCAAGCTGATACGACCGATCTACAAGAACCTTTGGGACCACGACTCTGTCTGCCACTACGACGACGTCCGCGGCATGGTTGACAACGTAAGTTCATTCGATCGTTGCTCATTTTATCTCTAACTTGGCTGCATCGTACCGAGGCGACTGTTATCTAACTGATACTCAAACTTTCCATTTTATCGCATAGCTTTTTTTCTTGACACACGATGAGCCGGATATGGTCGGACAGAACAACTCTCACATCAACGTACACGAGGTCGGAGTGGCGGCGAAACTAGCGATCTATCTTTTGCAGCAAGGGTACGCGCCATCCCTAATCACCATTCTGAGCATGTATGCCGGTCAGCGACTCAAGATTGTGGAGAAGCTGCGTCAGAGCATCATCCCTGGTGCGAGCGACATCCGCGTTTCAACCGTCGATGGGTTCCAAGGGGAGGAGAACGACATTATCATTTTGAGTTTGGTTCGAAGCAACAGCAACAACAGCATTGGATTCTTGAATACCAGCAACCGCGTCTGTGTCGGTCTCTCCCGCGCCAAAAAGGTAACTAAATTAAAATATGATTGCTTAGTTTTTTTCACGCTTGCTCCTCTCTCGGTTTTGATATACTGACGCGCGTAGTTACCATAATCTTTGTGTTTACTAGGGCATGTATATTCTTGGCAATGCCCAGTTGCTGAAGGACCAGTCGAAGCTCTGGAACACAATTATCATGAGTTTGCTGCACCAAAGCCACGACTTCAAGATTGGCAATCGCATCAAGCTTCAATGTCCTCGCCATCCCGAGATGATCTCCTTGGTTGGTCTCGAGGCCGAATTCGATCAAGTCCAGGACGGAGGGTGCTCCAAGCCCTGTGGAGGCGTGTTCCCGGACTGTGGACACCCTTGTCCCTTCCAATGCCATGCCGGTGACCACGGTGACAAGTTCTGTAACCATCCTTGCAGGAAGCCACTTCAGTGCGGCAAGCACTTTTGTTCTGGGAACTGCGGTGACCGTTGTCGCCCGTGCATGATCTGCTAGACGGGTTCGTGTGTGTCGCGCTTTTTTTCTTCTCTCTCCTTCGCAAAGAAAGAAGCCGATCCCTCCCTTGTACAACACTCAAAACATTTTCGTTTTATTTTTTTTGTTGTCTTTCCTAATCATTCTACCTTGCGCATAAAATGAACAGGCGAAGCGAGTAAAAAAGCTAATCGACGAAAAATAAAAGTCAGTAGATTAAACACCCACACTGTTACTGTACTGCGAACGAACGGGGGAACCCTGCCTATGTGGAGTCAAGAGAGGAGGATGAGTTTTGAACCTAGGAGGAATGTCCATTGTGTGACCTCGTTCCCCTACCAGCTCAGCAGTTGTTCCCGTCCCGTTCGTTGATTTATTCAGAGAAAAAAAATATTGTTAGATTGGCTTTGGGAGAGAGGAGAAAAAGAGTTGGTTACATCATTGCATCCAAGGTAAAGGTGTGAAAAAAAACAAGGAGCGTCAGTTAGGCACTGGGAGGTGGTGGAGGAGGGTTAGATGATGGAGGGGGTGGGGGAGTTGGAAGTGCTGGAGGAGGTGGTGGCGGTGCTGCTGAAGAAGGAGGCGGTGGTGGTGGAGGCAACCCTGGAGCTCCAGCCTGCAAATGCGAAAAAAAAGATAAGAGTAACGATTCATCATGAAAGCAAGAGTTAGTACATCCGTAAACGATACAGAACGAACGACAAGTAGACAGCATTGTACAACAAGGCCTAAAGCTCAACGTACCCAGCTAGGAGGAGCAACTGGAGGCGGGGGTGGAGGTGCACCATATGATGAATAGTATCCTCCATAAGGATCATGTGGGTAGGACTGACCAGGGTAGCCAGGGGGGGGTGGAGGTGCAGCGGCATCTGATCTAGAATGATGCGAGTTCCAGGGGTTAGCAGGTGCCACGCTAGCTTGTTGCCATGGCGCAGCTGGGGGAGGTGGTGGTGGACCACTGCTGGTTCCTGGGGCGCCATGATGTTGCCAAGGTGCAGGGTTAGACGATTGGGCGGCCGAAGCTGAAGCACGAGCAGCCCAGGGTGGAGGCGCAGAGCTGTGGCTAGAGGGCTCTCTGTCTCTAGATCCACTATTAGCCCACGGAGGAGGCGCTGATCCTGACTGACCTCTTGGAGGAGGAGGACCATAGTGACCCTAGTAATGTGTTTACGGGCAAATATTAATTTACGCGTTCATCGACGTTGAATAACGGGCAATAATACATAACTGACAAACGCTGTTAATACTTACAGATGACCCAGAATGACTACTTTCGCGTTCGGACGCTGGGGGAGCAGACTGTCCTGTCATTCCTGTGGGCACCTGTTCTCCGAGCTCAACCATGAGGTTCAGGTACTCCGAGTCGATCTTTTGGTTCCTCTGCTGAGCCTTCTCTGCTGCCTCTGGGTTGTTGCGCTCTCTGCAGTCACGAGTGGCGTGTCCGTGTCCACCACAGATACCACAGACAAGGTTGATGGTGACGTTGTGGATCTCAGGGCACTCAAACTTGCGATGTCCAACAGCACCACAGTTCAAGCATGTCTGGTTCTCGTCGTCTCGAAGCGTTCCGTTCAGCGACGCCAATTCTCTCAACTGCATGCGCTTCAGTTCGTTCTGGCCCTCTGGGACCGATGCAGACTAGTAGGATAAAAAAGGAAGGGTGAAAGGTTAGATAATTGGAATTTACATATCACTGAAACTTCAAACATTTGATAAAACAAGAAGGCACTTACGGTTTCGATGATCTTGTTAATGAGCTGAATGGCCTTGGCGACTTTATCTTCCGATTCGGCAGAGACAAGACAGTGAAGATCCTCCTCCTGGTTGGCGCTCGACGCAGAGTCAGAGCGACTCTTGCCCTCCTTGACCGATCCACGTCCACGAATACTGATCTTAGCGCCGGACTCTGTCTCCATCTTCTTCAAAGTATTTCCACGTGGTCCGATCAAGAGTCCAATAAAGTTGATTTCGGGGAATTCCTTGACGGGGATATAGACCTTGTCCATGGTTTTGGTGGGTCGCTTGTAGTCTGCTGGTGGCTTGAAGTCGGGGTACTTTTTGATGGCGCCGTCGATCAACTGATGCCTCTCGTCCTCCAGCTTCTTACGGTAACGGTATTCTCTGGTGTTGACACGCTTTCCCTCAGCATTATACACTGGTGGGGGAGAACGAGATCTAATTGAGTGGAAAGTGGAAGAGAGGAAAGTGTGTTAGGTTAAAATATTACAATCGAGGAATCGCCTGTACCTGTATAAATGACGAAGCAACATCAGCTTCCTGGCACATACCTCTCGCGATCCAGGGGAAGAACGTCGCCAGACTTCAGCTTCTTTGTAATCTCCTCAAGTCGAGTGTGCACTACATTGTGGACAGAAACAAAACAAGCAGGAAAAGACGATATTAGTTTCACGGAGGTCGAAACACACCATGCATTTACCACAAATGCAACAAAATGTAATAATAAATCTTGGCACTTACGCAAAAACATCTCCAGCTGCTCCTCGGTCATGTTGGTGGGCAACGCCGTTGGCATTCCTGGGATAGTAACTTTTTCATCCTCTGCAGCCCAACGACTCTTTCTCTTGCGCTTTGGCTCCTCGGTCCCATCTAAGTTAAGTGGAAATACGAAAGCCATTAGTCAGTTCAAGAAACCAAGCAACAAGCCAAAACGACTGAATAATAAAGGCACTCCACGTAGATACTCGTACCTTCTCTTTTGACGGGGAGACCATCACTCCTAGGACTGCCGCCATACGGACTGGACCCAGGCGACTGAGACGAAAACCCACCAGGTGATTGTGAAGGATATCCTCCTGCGCCACCGGTAGCATTCTGGTTTGGGCTGAAGAGCCGCGAGGGGACTTCGATGGGTCGTCCCCGGAATTGCTGATCGTCTTGATCAGACTGACTGACATCGCCGATCATGCGCTTGCGCGGACCAAGCGGGGTGTTATTAGATCCTGTCTTGCCAGCGTTCCAGGACATGGTGGGTGTGGTTGACAAAGGGGGTGGGGGTTCCTTGAGGATGGATGGTGAAAGGAGAAGATGAAAGACATATGACTTTATCTGCAGGACAATGGACGATAAAATGACGTCACCGAAGCCAAGCCATCGTAGTACCCGCCCATAATCCACTTTTTTTTTTATTATTTCTCAAACAAACAGCATAGAAGTCAAAAAGGGACTTCAAGTTGTCCGTCACTCCGACAGTTCATTTCAATTAAGGGCCATAAATATTGGTGGCGTCTCGAAATTGGTGGCGGAATCGGGCTGTGGGACCTTTTGCTCAAATAGGTCTTGAAATCCGCACTTCCAATCAGTTGGAGATATGGCCGAGTTGGTCTAAGGCGCCGTGTTAAGGCCGCGGTCTATTCGTAGGCGTGGGTTCAAATCCCACTGTCTTCACTAA